GTTTTGACTTTTTAAATAGGAGCTTACTTACACTCCTTAGAAATAAAGAGGAGAGTATGGAGGCTTGCTACCATGCAACACACATGCACGCATGTGTGCAGCGCAATGAGGCGCTTTAGAGGCTTTGCTTACACTTTGCTCGTGAATGACGGGTTTGACTTTTGGTGCGAGGCTAACCGTTGACGTTTCAACGGTCATGATTCGATCAGGTGTAATCAAGAGGCACTATTCAAAATTAACAATCATTAACTGTTAACTACCTTTTTAACAATCACAATATTTGAAATTGTGACCATTTAATGAGCATTTTCTAAACTAGCACCTTCCTATGCTCCATGCCTCTTCAAAAATTATTTAAGGAGCATGAATCAAGCAAATGCACACACAAGCTTTTCGAAAATCACTCGTCTCTCTGTTCAATAGGGGTGAGCAAAAAAAATCGAAAAACCGAACCAACCGAAATCGAACCAAAAAATCAATTAACCAAACCGGTCGATTTGGTTTGGTTTGGTGTTTTTAAAAAATCGAAGGTATCAGTTCGGTTTTGGTGAACCAATATAGAAAACTGGCGATTAACCGAACCGACCAGTATATATATATTATATTTTTATATATTATAAATTAATAAATTTGCATTATATATATAAATATATATTCATAATATATTATATATTATTTACTATTTAAAATATAATATTTTATATATATTTATAATTTTTTATTATATATTTATATACTTTTTATAATATATATTGTAAAAATTAAAAAACCAAAAAACTGACAAAATGAACTAATGGTTAACCGAACCGGTCAACCGATTAACCGATTGGTTTTAGTTCAGTTCCGGTTACCAGTATACCAAAAACTGATAGTACTAGTTCGGTTCTGAAAAATGCCCCACACCGAACCGTGAGCACCCCTACTATTCAATTTGCTACTATTTCACAGAAGATTTTTTCGAAGAATCTTCAACTTTGTTGGTTGTAGACTCTCGCCAAGGTTCAGTTGTACCCTAGAAACGGATTTGCCTGTAACCCAAAAGCAAAGTCAGTGGAACTGAGTGGGGGCAAATAACGTTATAAAGACAATGTTTTCATATGTGCCTCAGAGCTTCTCCTCCAAGTTTCAGTAAGCCCAACTTTCCAATAGACTTCACCCCCTTTGAGCAAGAAACAACAATTGATGCTTCTAGAAATAGCCTCTCATACATGCATTTTTAAATTATATCCATCTCAACCATAAATATCCACAAATAACAAGTGTATATCAATTTATATTGATCAACCCAAAAACGTTTTCAGGTGATAGAGATAGCAATGATACCAAACACAACCCTAGCAACCAAGCAATCGATGAATATGTGGTCCACATATTGATGATGATCAAGACAAGCAGACTAGAAGAGCACATAATATAGGGTCCATGTCTCATCCTCTACCATTAAGACGCTTTCTCATGGGTGGTCCATCACTAGCCAAATGGCATATTTAATGGAATACAGATGTATGATACTGTCATTCTGGTTCGATTCTGGAATATGGATATTTGATACTAGGGCTGTGATTGGATGCAGTGTAAATCTTTACTGGGTGCAAAATCTATACCTAGTTCAGTTTTGCCATGGTTTTGTATTGTATATATTTGTATTTGTACTCCTTACAAAATGAGTCTTATGAATTTAAGGTTTGCATCTCTAAGTTATATAAAATTTGTACTTCTTCTCATTTGCACTCATTAGCACCACAAAATTTTCACTACATTTCTCTTATCTGAATTCTTTCTCATATGAAAAGCGGGAACCTCATCATCTTGCATTCTACCTTTTTTTTTATCTTTTGAAGGGCTAACACAAAATGGGGGTAGCCCATCCCCAACCCAAGTGCAGGCAGGATTCGATCTCAAATCTCAGCTACGACCAGTAGGAGACCTTACCAACCAGCTGATTGGCACATTCCCATCATCTTACGTTCTACCTTACTCCTATAAAAATAACCCTCCTCTTACCTCCATTTCCTTTTATTTAAAGTGGAAATCATTTCATTTTACTTCTCACAAACAAATTAGAGACAGCCAAAAATATGAAACAAAAGTAAACCAAAACATAATTATACTCGACCCTTTCTGCACTTTCATACATTTACAAATTTGCACTGCAACCAAACAACGCCCAAGTGTAAAATATCCAGAATTAGAGCTTCGACACGATTTTGTCTCTCAAATAAACGCCCTTGCTACAGTGATGAACCCATATTTAAAGATGGCACTATAATTTTTAATATTCAAAAGAAAAAAATAGGTAAAACCATTCTTGCTCCATAAACTGATGGTTGAATAGACCTAATCAAAATCTTTTGTGTAGAAGAATTCCAAAATGTGTAAAGATCCAATCATCATTTATTATATTTAACTGTTCTCTGATCATTTATTTTCTTATTATTTTCCCCGATGATTTAAGGGGGAATGCACAAAGTAAACGTATTGAAGAACAGAAACAGTTTTACCAGAAATAATTTGCAAAACCTTTATTGGAATTGTATTTGATGAATACCGTTTTGATTATCATTGGCACTCAAATACAAGTACAACTCATAAAAAAAAAAAAGTAATATTCATCATATTGACAAGCTAAATTCTGGATATTTTAATTAATGTAAAGCATAAAATTGGAGAGAAAACAATTTCCACACAAGTTTAATTAATGTCAAATTAGTCATATCAAGAAATTAATATTAAATTAAATAAATAATTTCCATGTTAAATCTATTATGTCAAATCAATCATATATAAGTTTCATACAATGCTGTATGTGTGATGCAGAATTTTAATACAGTCAAGAAACAATGTCTTGGTATAACTCAGTACTTTCAAAATTGACCAGATCAGAAAAACTACGAACCAGTCACCTGATCCATTCTGTTTTACCCCCAAAAATTATTGATTTGGTCAACAAATCGCTGACTCGGGCAGTCGAACTGTCAACCCAGACAACGGCTTTTGACCATTTTTGTTTTTTTTTTTATTTTTTTTTTGTCAGAACAGGCCATCCATTCGGACCGGACAGTCAGACTGTTCGACCCGGGAACTGGACCCAGAACGGTTTCCTGTACAATCTGATTTTAAAAACCTTAGGTAGAAATGCATATACATGTTGCCATAGATGAATGAAAAAAACAGAAACACTAATGAAAAAAAGTGCATTGCTCTTCTTAGCTCCAATGAATTGTCCGCAGATTTCTATCAAAATAATGTGTTTTTTGAAGAAAAGAACTCTCCCAAAAGTAAACCCACTCATGGGCCGGGTAGCCAGACAAGCTGGCCCGGCCTGGCCTTTTCTTTGTTGGACTTGGACATTATTACAGCCATGCAGGCTCGGGCTTGGGCCCAAAACACTAGGCCTGACATTTTTCAAGCTAGACTCAGGATTTCTCAAAAAAGCCTGGCCTAAGCCCAAGCCCAAGCCCAATAATATTTTAAATAATAAAAACGTATAATATATTCTTTTCTTTGTTACTCTTCTCTTTTCTCAAGTCATACCGAGGTATTTCAACGTTTTTGGGTTCTAAGGTCATTTAATATAAATAAATCAGTTTTTTTTTTCTATTGAGTAAAAAACAAAACCAAAAAAGATCTTTTTGCCCAATTTACAAGCCATGCCCGGGTACAATATCTGGGCCCAATGGTCAGGCCAGGCTTAGACCTGAATGAACAGGTCTATCCACAAGCATCTAGGTTGAAAATGAAAAGCTTGAAATTGAGATGAGAAATCTGCTCAAAGAGATGGCACAGTTATTTGAGCTCTCAGTGGACCAATAGGGATAGCCTCTTCAACAAACGCTGAAATTATGGCAGCACTAATTAGAATCAGGATTGCGAGAGATCTGGGTTTTCAGAACATCACCATAAAAGGAAATTCAGCAAATACAATCAGGTGGCTTGCTGACTCTGGCAGTGGGTTGTGGGCCATGGGCTTTAACTCATTTTTTGACTGAAGCAAGGGATATCCTTCTCAACCTAAATGCGAAGCTAGGTTGGATCCCTAGCTCTGCGGATGGTCTAGCAAAAGCTGGTGCTCACAGGAATGTCTTGTTTAATGATAATTCTCTTTCTACTTAACTCTTGAATTGTATTTTCTGTGTACATCGTCTTATGTACCCTCTATTTCTTTAATAAAGTTACCATCTTTTTCAAAAAAATATGCTCAAAGAGTGCCATATCATTCCACGGTCAAGAAGTTTGTTATTCAGTATCAGCTCATATAAACCTGTAGAGGGTTCCATATCCCCCCAACAAGGATTGATAAATGATAAACCAGCACTGGTTCACATCCCCCAACACGGATTGGATAAATGATACTGATTAGCACAGGAGGAATGAAGGGCGAGCACCTACGTCAGTCTAACCATGCACATGCCCATCTTAAATAAATTGATATGATATACCTACATATTGTCTCAATATTGTAAACCTCGCAATAAACAAACAAAACAAATCATGGTTTTCAAACCCGGACTGGACCGAACGGTCGGACTGAAAAAACCAGGAACCAATTTCATTTTCCCCAAAATCGAATTTTTCCCAAAAACCGTTGATTTTGGTCAGCAAACCACTGACCAGGGTGGTTAACCGTTTGAACAGTTTTGACCATTTTTTATTTTTTATTTCTTTTAATTTTTTTTATTTTTTTTGTCAAAACGAACCAACCCCATTCGACCCGGGAACCAGACCCCTGACAGGTTCGTTCTCCGGGTCGGTTTTAAAAACAGAGAAACAAATAATTTCCTTAGAAGTTGATATTCAATAGGTACCTCCTAACTTTTTAAAATGAAAACCAACCCCAGAAAATCGAAAAACATACCAAGTGATCGAAAATATAAATAGATGTGCAGCCTCTGTTTGGAAAACGACTAGGTGAAAAATTGGACCAAGGGTCAAAGTACCGATATCTGAATACACAAATTCTGTATATCGGTCAATATGCACCGGTGGTTGGGAATTTGGGATATTTTGAACCTTGATGGGAATATCATTCTCAATAATTAGTAGTCATTCATTTTACATGCAACCAAACAGCGCTCAAATATAAAGGCAAACAAACAAGGAACTGTCTAGTAGCACCAGAGAGCATCAACCATGACTCCCACATTACAACTGAAAGATATGATACTGGCAAACTATACAGCTGAACACAAGCTCAATGGGAGGATACAAACATATAACAAACATACAAACTATAAAGTGACACTCGGTCCAGTCGGGGATGGATGCCTTGCATGACCAACACAAAGAAGATGGATGCCTTGCATGCATAACTGCCGACCTCCAATTCAGTCATATAAGCATTATAATCACATCTAATACAGCTTAGGATTTCGCGTTGAACTGTACTCCCTTCAGCTGAAAGCTCAGATAACAAATGTAGCCAACCACTGAGGGGCTTGTTCAGAGCATGGCATCAACGGCTGCAACCATGAATCTGGCATAGATGATCTATTCCAGAAATGCAGTTCTGCCTTTGTACACTCCATTGAAACAATATTAATTGGTAACATCATAGTAGTAGTACAAGATGGTCAAGTTGCATTAACACAGCTCTCCCAAGTACCATATCTTGAGCTGAAGCTCCTCCCTCCACTCTTCTGAGCATACTCCAAGACTACTGCACGAGCGCAAACATCCCAAGTCTTTGCCATATCTCCAAGAGACATGGGATGTGAAAGGCTGCGAAGTGAGATGCGAAACCTTGACTTTGCTTTTAGTGAAAGATCATCATTTTCCTTACTGTTATAGAAGCATGTAAACACAAAATTTCATGTCATAACAGTAAATTCCTTGAAGATTGCTGGTGAACAGATGAAGGAAAGGATATGATTTATTAGCAAATAGCAATTGATAAAGTGATCCAACAGAAGGACATGCATCCAATTTTGGAGCTCTTGAATCTACATAAAAAATAAGTATGAGGTGTTTCATTGGCTTACCTCAATTCAACTGGTAACCTGTCCAAGAGTATAGGGGAACAATTTGGATAATTTGTTGGAACAAGCAACCGTAATGGCAAAATTGGAGACTGCAAAAGGGGCAAACAGAAGTGAAAACAAGCAGATAAGAGTAAAACTAAAAAAGGGTCAGACAAGGATTAGAAGTTACAAATCTTACCATTTGTGCTGAAGCATATTGTGATTTCACGTTTGGACTGAGCGCCACAGCACTGAAGGAGCACTTAACAACAGTTCCTTCACCACTTTCAACAGCTACTCCTGCAGTTGGTTCAACATCCTCATCACTAACATCCACTACAGTATCAATTAACTGCTGGTTTATCTCATCAATTTCCTTCAAAAGAGCATGGCTGGCCTGCAACAACAGGAGACCCATTATTTTCCAATAATAGATTTAAGATAAAAAGTAATTAATAAGAACAAGAGAAAAAGGGGAAAAAAATCTAGAAACTATCCTGAGGTAGGAGAAATCACCCTATAATCCTTGGGGGTGTATAGCATAGCTGCGTTTTTTGGCATTGCACTTCACCATAATCACCAACAATACCCAGTGTTTATGAAATGTCTGTTGGAGACCTATTTCATAGATAATGCTGATGTTGCATTTTAAGTGCTTTATTTTTATTATAAAATACATTTCTGCAATTAAGGATGTGACAACTCAAATTTTCTGCTCTTTCACTTTTCAATATACCAGATCAGAGGGAGTGTGGCTGCAATATCCTCCAGATTCATGAAATGTCAGGAAAAAAAACTTGGATATAAAAAAGGGAGTTTTGTTATCTGCCCTAGCCAAGGATTTAAGTATTGACAAGATACGCCCGATACGGGGTGTATCGTATCGGTATTGGCCTATGGCAGTACGAGATACACTACGAACAGAAGTGTATCCCGTGAGCCATCTGTATCGTAGCGATACAGATGCATATTGGCCTGTATTGCACTGTACCAGCCGATACGCAACGATACAAGCCGCTACTCATCGATACACAGTGCCTGTATCACACTGTATCGGCTGATACACACCAATACAAACCGCTATGCATCGATACACAGTGTTTCTCTATAAAAAACTGTAGGCATGATGGTTCGAACTAGATCACTAGAGCATGCCCAAACCTTGCACCTTAAATGTGATTCTAAGCCACTAAATCACTTTTGTTCTTGTGATAATAAATAAAATAAAATTTATTAACTTTTGTCTCTACATGCTATTTAAACAAAAAGCACATGTTTATGTTTAACAATTCTAACTAAAATTTCAAAAGAATAATATTCAAAAACAGTACTTTATGAACTACTACAATAAAGTATCTATCAAATCCATGTTTATATAAAAAGATGATTTTTAATATCAAGAAAATTATACAAATAAAATATTAAGAATAGAATAATAAAATTTATAAATTTGCAAATGACATGTGATGAGGGCGGATTTGGCCCTCCAGTGAAAATATGACACCTAGCACCTCATGCCAACTAAGTGCAGCTTCTTGACAACTAGGTAGCTCGCCACTTAGGGGCAGCTCGGCACTTACAGGTAGCCTGGCGTCTTACGAAGAGCTCGTCACTTAGGGGCAGCTCGGTACCTACAGGCAGCTCGGCATAGGTAGCTCACCACTTAGGGGCAGCTCGACATAGGTAGCTCACCACTTAGGGGCAGCTCGGCATAGGTAGCTCGCCACTTAGGGGCAGCTCAGCATAGGCAGCTCGCCACTTACAGGCAACTGGCCACTCCACAGGCAGCCTGGCGTCTTACGAAGAGCTCGGCACTTACAGGAAGCTTAGCATAGGTAGCTCGCCACTTAGGGGCAGCTCGGCGTATCGCAGGAAGATCTCCTGCCTGACAACCGTACCTGACAAATCCGGAGACCTGCGCCCACGTCTCTCGCCAGGCGGCACCATGCCTACCAGCCCTGAGAGTTGTCCCTTGCCTGGCAAAGCTGTACCCTGCAACAACTGCCTACACCCGCCACCTCAGCTCTGGCAGTAACGGCTGCGGCAGAGAGACAGAGGCGGTTATGCCTGACTTGACAGAGGCGGTTACGCCTGATTTGACTGGACACCGCTATATAAGGACTCAAGACTCCGACCCCCAAAGACAAAGGGGGAATGGAAAAATGGAGGTAATCCCTGCTCTCTAGCTCTCTCATTTCTCTCCAAGCTCCCTACAATCAGAATGCTAACTTAGGCATCAGAGAGTCCCCACCGGGAAAATACCCCCGAGTCCTCTGATTCAGTTCTCGCAGGTTCCTCAGCCCCCGCCGCCTACAAAGAGGAGGAAAAGATGGAGTTCTCGCAAGTCCCTCAGCTCCCGCCGCCTACAAAGAGGAGGAAAAGATGGAGTTCTCGCAA